TGTGGGTGTGTGGGGGGGTCTGGTCCCTTCATACTGAATCATCACGGTTGGACGAGACCTTTAATATCCAGTCCAACCCATCACCACCACTGTAACCCCTAAATCACATCACCCAGTGCCAGATCCAGATGCCTCTTAAACACTTCCAGGGATGGTGACTCCACTACTCTATTCCAGTGCCCGACCACCCTAACAGCGAAAAAAATTTTTTCTCATATTTGATTTGAATCTCCAGTCTCAGGTTAAGGACATTTGCTCCAGTCACAGAATCACAAAATCAATTAGGTTGGAAAAGATCTCCAAGATCATTGAGTCCAACCTGTGACTGAACGCCACCTTGTCAACCAGACCAGGGCAACAGTCTTTCCTTAAACACTTCCAGGGACAGTGACACCACAACTGCCCTGGGCATTGCATTCCAATTTCTAATCACCCTTCCAATGACTAATCACCCTTCCTGTGAAGAAATTCTTCCTAATGTCCAACCTGGCGCAGCTTAAGACTGTGTTCTCTTGTCCTGTCACTGGTTGCCTGGGAGAAGAGACTGACCCCCCCAGCTACAACGTCCTGTCAGGGAGTGTAGAGACCAAATAGGTCACCCCTGACCCACCTCTTCTCCAGGTTAAACACTCCCAGCTCCTCATTCCTTGCAAGGAGTGTGTGTGGGGGGGTGGTAAGCCACGAGAACCCCACAGGTCTGAGCATGTGTGGGAGAACAAATCCTGCTCACAGAGAGTGGTCACCCACTCCGGGGCGCAGAGTGGGGTTTAAGTGGGTTCAGAAGAGATTTTAGTGTTGTGGGAGCAAGGACCGGCCGAGGGGGTTGTTCCCACAGGTCCTCATTGCATTCCACTTGTGGAGTGCTTGGTGCGTGTGTGGGATGTGAGCTCCTGGGACGGACAAAGCCTGCTGCCCAAACTCTGAGGTTTCCTCTGAAGATCACGAGTCTGCCTGTGGAGTTCATTGCTCTGGGATGCTCTCCTTCAATAATGAAAATGTTGGGATTGGGAGCAATTTGGGCTGGAATTTAGCTGGAGCAGAGGAGACCCTGCACTCTGCACAGCTGTGCGCACCTGTGCTGAATTTTGCCCAGAAACTGGACAGAAAGTCTCATTTGATCCATGCTGTAACCATAAGCTGGTCAAGAAGGAAACCACAGGAATCAAGAGGACTTGACAATGGGCAAAATTTGGCCAACATTAGGTTTTTCTGCATGCAGAGGCAGGACTGTGGCCCCAGTGCCACGCCCGAGGGGAAAAGGGAAGGGTACTCGGCACCACACAAAAGGGTTCAGATTAGTATCTTTCTTGACCATTTGAGAAGTGAGGGAAGGTTTAACCAATCAAACAATCCATCCAACCCCTCACTGCAGGATTGGTGGATATCTTGAACTAAATTCTTTAATTGATTGATACTTTGATGAATCGACTGCGCATGATCTGAAAAATTCATGCAGCACATGCCTTCGAACTCCTGGCACCCATGTCCGATTGCCAGGAGTAAGAAGTCAATGGCTGCACGATTTTGTAAACTGATTTCTTTTAATTTTTGAATATCTGCTAGCAGGCCTTCAATCGCTGTGGTGGTGGCATTGGCTTCCTTGGTCAGCCAGCAACCACGGTGGGTCAATAGGGATAGGGCATGGGCTGTTCCTGTCCTTGGGGTCAGGAAGGAAGCCCAGAAGTTTTTCATGCGGGACCAGATGTGGATGTTGGAATCACAATCCGCAGGGAAGGGTAAGGGAGGTGGCGGAGTGACAATTCCAGCATCCCCAAGTGGTGCCACAACGGTAAGGGGATTAGTAATTTTTGGTTTTGGGTTGGTAGTGGGTGGTGTTGTTTTCTTTGGCTTAGGAAATCTAAGCGGTGCGCCCATTGCAAAGGATAGGGATCTTTTAACTCGATTCTTAGGGGTAGAAGATTGATCCAATAATTTGAATTTCGCTGGGTTAAAAAGTGCCAATTTTCCTACTGTGCAGGGACCCCCTTCCTGGTAGGCAGGAATACCCTGCCACGCCCGATCCCCGCACAAAAGGAAAAATCCTTTGGGAAGTCTCATGTTTCTCTTCACAAGTTCTGTAGCTACCGTGGTTGCAACCGAGTTGTTACACCATAGCGAAGGGGTTTCCTGGTAAATTGGCTTGTTAGCGGATAATTAAGGGTGTGAATAGGTTTGGTTCCATGTAACCATGAAATAAGATACAATTATTAGAAGGGAGAGAACCAAGGAGTCAATTTCTTGGGGTGGATCCGCAGTGAAAACCTGACAGGAAACAACCTGTGCTAGTGTAGCAGAATTTAGTGGCAGGGATCCCAGACTCCGTGTTTGTGATACAAAGGTGTTCCATTCCTTTCCCGGCGTCACAGGAATACCCACCAGGCACGTTTGAAAAGGGTTACCGGCGCTGGACAAGGCCAAGCACAAAGTGTCTGTTCCAGTGGCCTTGGCCAGCGTTACCCACAGGTTCTCGGTCGGCTGCTTCATCCATTCTCTCAAAGGAGATGAGGTAGACATGTTGTGAGTCAGTTCTAAGGTGATGATGAAGATGACACAGGCGTGGAAGGTCCACATCTCATGTTCGAGTCCTGATGTATCCGTACCCTTCTCGCTGGGACCTACTTAGGTCCTGTGTCACCTGCAATACAGGCGTACCCTTTCCCCCATGTGATTAGGGGAAAAGGGCCCGTCCAGATTTCTGTTATAGGGTCTCCGTACATTACTTTTACTTTCTGAGTTCCTTGCATGATATCTGATTTAAAGTGCTTGTCAACAGGACTTCTGTTTGCGTGAGTTTCTGATTCCTCCAATACATTTAAAAAATTTAGAACATACATCACTTTTTCCAATCTTTCTTGGGGAGTCATACCTGTACTCTCCCTTCTTTGTTTTTTGAGTAAATTTTTTATGTTTTGATGTGCTCTCTCTACTATGCCCTGCCCTGTGGGGTTGTGTGGGACCCCAGTGGTATGTTGTATCCCCCATTCTTCAAAAAATTTTCTGGTGTCTGCAGATACATAGGAGGGTCCATTGTCGGTTTTTATTTGCTTAGGGACACCCATCCTAGCAAATGCAGATAACAAATGTCTTTTCACATCCCTGCTTTTTTCACCAGAATGCGCGGTGGCTACGATCATTTTTGAAAATGTGTCAATAGACACATGCACATATTTTAATTTACCAAATTCTGGTATGTGCGTGACATCCGACTGCCAAATCTCCAACGCGGTTAATCCTCTGGGGTTAGTTCCTTCTGGAACTAGTGGAGCAACCATTTGGCAGTCAGGGCACGCTTTTAAAATTTCTTTTGCTTGAGCCGGTTTTAAGCCGAATTGCTTTTGTAGAGACGGCGCATTCCGGTGAAAAAATTCTTGGGAGGTTTTCGCTTGCTGGTATAAATTGGGGGTAACAGCCATACCTGCTAGATGGTCAGCAATCTGGTTCCCCTCCGCCACAGGACCTGACCTTGTGTGGACAGTATAGTAGCCAAATTTTGTGTCTTGAATTAAGAATAGCAAATTTTTTAACAAATTAAAAAGTTTTTCATCAGATACTTCTTTCAAATACGAATTTTCGATTCTCTTGACAATGCCCACAACGTTTGCCGAATCTGATACGATATTAATTGGTTCACTGTTGAATATTTCGAAGCCGTGAACAACTGCTGACAATTCCACGATTTGTGGGGAACCCCGAGCTTTATGAATATTCTGTCACCAATTGCCGTTTTCTCGCCAAACAATGACCGCATTTCCGGGTCTCCCAGATCCATCGGTGAAAATAGTTTTGGCATTCTTTATTGGAAGGTCTGATTGCATAATTTTTAATTTTAATGGAATTGGGATCAATTCTGCAAAAATCGGCATGCCGGGAGGTGAAATTTGACTTCTCCCCGGTAGCCTCCAATGGCAATCTGAAAATCCGTGGAATTCTGCATCAGTTGTTCCAGATGTTCAGAAGTCAGTGGGAGGTATATGCAACCTGGCTCCTCTCCACTGAGTTCCAAACACCTGGTGCGTCCTTTAAAAATTAATTTGCCAATCATTTCAGCCAATGTAACAATAGTTTTTGAAAACTGATGTGGGAGAAATATCCACTCCCACAAACAGAAGTCCTTTGTATCACTTGTAAATTGGCCCAGTATGGCCAGTGGTTGTTGTTGTTGTTCCCTGATGATAACTAGGGAAGATGGCAGTCCCTCCATCTTTCTGTAAGATTGTCTCTCTGAGATTTTGTTTTCAACTGTGGAAAGGGCTTGTTCTGCTTCTGATGTTAAAAATCTGGGGGAGGACAAGTCTGCATCTCCTTTGAGAAATTCAAACAAGGGGTGCAAATCACCAGTTGTGATCCCCAGCACTGGTCGGATCCAATTGATTGCTCCCAACAGTTTCTGGAGGTCATTTAAAGTTCGTACTTTCTTGTCAGTTGCCACTGATTGAGATTTAATAGTTTTTGAAGTAATTTGGAGTCCGAGATACCTCCATGGTGCTTCCCTTTGCACTTTTTCAGGGGATACCTCCAATCCTTTAGAATTTAAAGCCGAAATTGTTGAATTTAAAGTTTGCTCAACTGCCAATTTTGTTTTGGCACAGATCAATACATCATCCATATAATGAAAGATGACTGACTGTGGGAATCTTTTCCGAATCGGCTCCAACACTTTTGCCACAAACATCTGGCATAGTGTAGGAGAATTTTTCATCCCCTGGGGAAGCACCTTCCATTGGAACCTGCGATGGGGTTCACAAGCATTGATGGCCGGGACTGAGAACGCGAATTTAGCCGAATCATCCGGATTGAGATATATATGAAAAAAGCAGTCCTTTATATCAGTCACCACTAGGGGCCATTCAGCAGGGAGCATAGATGGAGAAGGCATTCCCTGCTGGAGGGCTCCCATTGGCTCTAGGACTTCATTTACTTTGCGCAGGTCCTGAAGAAATCCAGCTGGGGGGGACCGGCGGGATGATCACCACTCCTGATGATCTCTGAGCCCAAGTGAGGACGCAGGAGTTCTCTCAGAATGAGACACCTTCAACTGCGCCCCACGTTGGGCGCCATCTGCCACGGCCCGAGGGGAAAAGGGAAGGGGACGTGGCACCACACGAAAGGGTTCAGACGCAGCTGAGGGTCTGGGTGCAATGCCAGTTTATTAAGAGAACTCAGGGACTTATACAGGGTAAGTCTGAGGGGAGGATTCATAACTGGGGAGGTGCATGGGACTGACAACCAAGGGTGAGACAGGATTGGGAGACAGGGGAAAGGTGGGCATAACTTATGGGTATCCAGGGGAAGGGACCAATGGGGGCTCACTCTGCACTGCAGCAACTCTCAGCCAATCAGTGGAGTGGAAAAGCAGGGGAGAACAGGGGAGTAAACAACTTTTGGAGGGAAAATCTGAGGGACCAAGGGGAAAAACATTAGGGTACATTAAACTGGGTATGAAACTGGTATTAAAATGGGGGATAACAGGTCAGTCCGGTAGAATGACAGTCCATTCAGGCTCCATAAATGTCTCTCCACGCCTGAAATCTTTCCCAATGGGATTTCTCATTCTCCTCACCCCAGAAAGCCAGAGGTTCCCTCAGGTGTCACCTCCAAAGGTCTCCATTGATGTGTGGCCCATGGAGGGCTGTGGGTACTACATCAGGAGTGTTGCAACCTGACTGAGTTGCATCAACTGGTTTTGTTAACCAAAATCTGGTTTTGAGCATGCTTCAGAAAAAAACGTAATCTTGTTTTGCAGCAGGTGGTGATGAGTTCAGCACAACTATAAAAGCCGTGCTGTGTTTCAGTACCTAATAGCCAGGGCATCCCTTGCCCCAGAGAATTTGCTCAAGTCAACCTTTTTCCACCACTGATTTACAAAGCATTTCATATGCATTTAATATATAAATCACTGGAACCTGACATATCTTTAACAAGTCTGATTTCCAGTGTCTTCTCAGTTCATTTTCCTCTCTGAAAGTGCTTTGTATGCTTCTAAAGACCCTTTCCCCAACTGATTTAAGTCAGATGATTCTCACTCAAGACTTGTCTTGATTTACATGCCAGACAAGTTTTCCCCACAAAGGAGGGAATTTCCATGTTAGGGATAGCACAGGGCCCAGTTTTACATTTCCAAATAGATAAAACAGGCACTTTGCTTCATGTAATTTGCAGTTAAGTACCTAATTAGGTAATTGCCTGTTAATTCAAAGACTGCTTTTTGTGCAACTGGCTTTGAAAAAGTGCTGCCTGAAAACAAGCAGAAAGAGAAAAAATTAAAATGTTGCTTTTCTTGCCTAATTTTAATTACTCTTTTTATCTCCCAGTGAACGTAATGCCCCTGGATCGTGGTGCAGAGGACCAGAGGTGCATGGGAGCTCCTGGCACTGAGCATATTTAGGAAGTCACTAATATTTGTATAATTAATTGCTTTTCAGACTCCTCCATGTTGATCTCCAGAAGCATTTCAAGCTCGACACACAGAAGCTGTTTCTCCATGAGCAGCTGTGGGGCATTTGGCTGGTGGTTTCGACAGCAGGCAGCAGAGATGAATCAAGGACGTGGCATCCGCAGTCATGACCTGGAATTTGAACTCTTTGGTGCCTCTCTCCTCCCAGAGGGATGGAGGGGAGGCGGAAGATCTCAGGATCTTCTGATTGCCATCGATCCAGCTGATTTGCTGAGCACTGGCCTTGTATTGTGTCTGTATGCTCTTTGAGAGATGATTTCAGTCTGAAAAAAAGCCTGTGAGTATCCTGAGAGCTGGAAATCAGATGCTCTGATCTCACGTTTCTCCAGCATTTAGCCATTGCCTCTACCACCAGCACCTCATAAAAAAAAAATTTAAAAAATCATGGAACATAAGAAAAACCATGAGATAAAAGAAGAGATGAATGTTGCTGATTTTAACAGGTTTTTTTGTTCTGATGTATTTGGAGGGGAGAGGGAATTGGATCATATTTTCATCTTTTTTTTTGCCCCACATCCATGAGGACTAGACACTTCTTTGATAGAGAGGGAAAAAAAATAGAGATTTCCGAGTGGTAATATGACTGAAAGAAAACATGAATACATGGAATTCATGCCAAGGTGGTGAGGTCTGGCAATGCTGCCATGTGTCCTGTGTTACACTCAGGAGTGGGAGAGAGGCACTTGCATTGTGGATGCCATGCCAGTGGCTGCCCCTGTCCTTCTCCATGGTTTCTGAGGGTGGGATGGTCACATCTGAAGACAGAGTTATAGGAAAGAGTTTCCAAGAAGGAAAACACAGGGAGGGGTGTCCATGCAGCCCTTTAGTACCTGTGTGGATGTGAGCTAAAGCTAAACAGGACCAGGGTATAGAGATGGGCACTGTGCATAATTGACTGCCCTGATTAATTAAAAGCAACTTCTCGGCATGGGCAATGATGGAGCATCCTCAGATGGATCTGCACGTGTCCCAGTGGACATGTGCCCCAGTCCCTCCTGCCTGTGCTGGGCTGAGGCTGTGCATGGGCAGGTGGTGGTCAGGAAAGCAGCTTTGTCAAAAAAACCAAGTCAAGAGGGAGCAGCCATATCTCCACTGCAGCTTTAGGTCAGTGTTGTGGCACCAGCACACATGTACCCTGTGCTTCTGCAGGGGCCCCATGCTTGAAACAGCTGCTGGAGGACGTGTGGGATCAGAAGGGAAATCCTGTGCACCCAGGGAATGTCCTTTTGATGCAGGATCATAAGCAAAACCCTAACAAAGTAGTGATGGATCCAACAGCCCTGGGCAGAGCCCACACTGCTGGAACCACCTGCTTCATGGAACATTTTCCTAGAGTTAAGTAATGGTTTTCTAAAAATTTATCAAATTGCCTTTTTTTTTTTTTTCTCCCCAAAGGCTTTTTTTGCCATCTGTGTGCAGAATCTCCAGCAGAAATTCCAAGATCTGGAGTGATTTCGTCCCATGCCATGAGAAGGATCTGCTCTGCACACCTTAGGCCGTGCAAAAAGGAGAAAGAGAAGAAGGCAGAGCTTTCTGTGAGCTCTCTGTGAGCCTGATCACTCATCAAAGGCAGCTGCCTCCTGTGCTGACCTGAGGACGTGACAGATGTCTGTAGCCTTTACAGGTGCAGGGCCTGCATTTCATCGATCTTTTTTCCTTGGGTGACTTGGAGCATGGATTATTAGCAGCTCGGATTTCTTTGGCCACGGTACTTAGTTGTGTACACATCCGGGTTAAATCTAAGCAATATTTCTGATCCATGTAGGCTTCTGACTTGGTTCTGCGTCTTCGGTGTTTACAAAATGATCAACATTTGAACTCTCCTGTTCTTTTCATTAAATGTCAGCAGAAACTTTTTTTTTTTTTAATAAACAGTGCAGCCTCCCCCTGCAATGTTCATAACCAAGAAACTGTGGCATCACAAGAGCATGAGGAAATATTGCTGATTAAAACCAGGGTAAGAAATGACGGTGAAAGTGTTTGTGATTTTTTTTTTCATTGCAGAATCACAGTGAAGTGGCTGGTAAAATGGGACCAGCTGGTTGAACCCCACTTGGGTTGAATACAAGGTTTAATGCACTGAAACTACTTCCACTGGCATGTGGAGCTGGTCATATGCTTTTGATATGAAAACTCTTAACTGTAGCGTGACAATTTAATTTCTCGTGTGAAACACGTCTCACATCACAGCTTTTCCCCCACCTCTTTCTGTTTTGACAAAGCAAAGCAAGTTTGGGCTATTGTTGGCTCTCTTTGCCTTGTTTTTGTCTTTTTCCTGAATCTCATTAATATACAAGTGGTATTAAATAATAATGATGCCAGTAGTGACCTCTGCTGTGCCTTGATGTCTGCTCCCTTTTGCTTCCAGGAGCAGATGTTGTCTGTCTTTGTTTTCTGTTGCCAAATGGGGACTTTGCCCCTTTAACCTTTGATAAGGTGCCTTAATAGCCTCTAATGTGAGATTTTATCACAAGCCAAGTAAAGGATATCCGCCTCTTAGCTTTTATTAAACGTTCCCATTGTGTTTTACAGCAATTTAAGGAAGTCCAGTTTCCTCTGTCTTTTTGCAGGTGGTATTTATCCCCTGCAAACAGGTGAGCATCCGCCGTGGAGGGAGCACCCATGGACAGAGGTCCTGTCCAGGGCTCTGTCCTGGGTGCTGCTCCAGCACCGAGCCCTAACCAACCTGCACCACAAACCAGTCAAACAGGGTGATGCTATGAATGATCAATGGGTTCCAACAAGACTCACCTGGGCCACGTTTTCCAGAGATTGCTGATGTGAGGTGGGGAGAGCGGTGTGTACACAAATACTGCTGGGGTCTTGGTGCTTGTTCTCCTCTTGCTGTGTGCATGGACAGGAGCCACTGGGTGCTTTTGCACCAGCAGTTAAATGCTGTGGTGCTGTAAATCTGCTCTAACACTTCCTATGAAGAGACACCCTCACTACGTCCTTCCCTTCCTCATCCCTTTTGCAGCATTTCATACTTTGCTCCTGCACTCAGCCACCCCGAAAACCCCAAGGGAAAGTCCACCTCCCAGTTTCTACCTATTTATTTACCTGGGCATATACATGGCTCATATGAACAGCCATCAGCCCTGGGCTGGAGTGGTGAGGGCTCTCCCCGGGGCAGGCAGACTGCATTGCACCTTAGGTGAGAGTGTGCCTGGCTCCGGGAAGCCTTGTGGGCAATTTGGGAAGGTGGCACTTTGTGGCTGGGATGTGCCTGTGTGCTCTCCCATGGCCTCTTGAAGCATCAGGGGGGGCTTCTGCTGAGTCCCCCTTGGCCTTACCCACATCTCTCCTTAATTACATTGGATTTGGTATTCCCACCCCTACCTTTGCTGTCTTGGCCTGTTTGACACCTTGCCATGTCACACCTGGGGAACATTTCATCAACACCCTTTCTTTTGCCAGGCTGGGGCAGCAGCAGACACAGAAGAGCTGCTGTTTCTTACTGATCACCACATGGAAAATAAAACAGGCACACAGCAGCCTCTGCCATGCTCCCCTCAGCACTGCTGCCCAGCCCTCAAAGGAACCACCTCCTTCCCCCTCCAGACCTGGAATTTCACCTGTGCTGACAACACCTACTTTGGCGGACAAGCCTCGTGCCTCACACTGCCTGCTAGCACTCTCCTTGTGTCCCTCACCCTTTGTAGGGCTTTGTTTCCCCAAGCCACATCCCATCACACTGCGCCTGGGCATCCCCAAAAATTTGCCACTTCCTGTGTCTGGGACATGCCCTGGGCAGAGCCGCTCCTGCCATGTGGATGGCACCGGCATAACCCCATTATCACCAGCACGGGGCTGCTTCAGCCCCATGCACAGCCCATACACCCTGTGCTTTCCTGTGCCAAGATTCTTGCCAAGGCTGCAGCCTATAAATAATCCAGGAGTCTCACCTCCTGCTCGGCTCCACACGCTGCCACCCTGCTTTGTTTCACAACGAGCGTGCGATCCCGCCAGCCAGACCTGCAGCCACCCGATACAGGCTCCCTTGGGATAAGCCTTGAACACTGACTTCCCAAATTACTGTCTGGAGCGATGGGTGCAGCCGAGCTGAGCCAGCAATCCTATTCCAGCTGCTGGCACTCGCTGAAACATCTGCCTCGCCTGCATCGTGCCTGTTGATGGAGCTGTGAGCAGCTCCCGGCATGTCATTTGGGAATATAAATTGAGTTCTTCTGAGCTGGAACCACCTGCTTCAGATAATTTCTTTGGCAAGGAGTCCTCTCTTGCTCTCCATCCAGGATTTTTGTGCCTCCCACCACTGCCAGCCCTATGCTGTTGCTGGTGGGGGGAGGTGGCATTGATGGGTGGGAGTTTAGGTGGATCTGTGGGGGAAATGTCCTGCTGCCAAAGCACAGCAGAGGGAAATGTGCTGTTTAAACCATGAAATTGTAGAATCACAGACTGATCTGGGTTGGAAGGGACCTTTAAAGTTCTTCTAGTCCAATCCCCCCGCCATGGACAGCAACAACTTTCACTACAGCAGGTTTCTCAAAGCCCCATCCAACCTGGCCTTGAATACTTCTAGAGATGGGACATCCACTGCTTCCCTGGGCAGCCAGTTCCTGTACCCCACCACCCTCATCACAGAAAACATCTTCCTTGTGTCCAATCTCAATTTACTCTCTTTCAGCTTAAAAGACCTCTCAGATCTGGCAGCAGGACTGATGCAGTGGCACTGGGGCTTCATCCAGAGGAGTTTGCCCAGATCCCATCAAGATGCAAGTGGGACATGCTCCTCCCCTCCAGCACTGATAGGCTGAAGGCCTCAGCTTGGATTCTGTCTTGCTTTAGGTGCTTGGGTTTTGAAGCACTGATGCTGAACTGAGGCTGGTTGGACACAGGAGCAGAGAAACAAGCAGCTCCCAAGGAAAATAGGCAGCTGTTGCAAGGATCAAAATGACCTCGGCAACCCTGCCTGTTCTGCCTGTGGGAAAGGAAGGGGGTGGGAGTAATGGGTGCTGCTGCCCCCAGCTTCCCTTTCCCCTCCATAGAGTGACACACAGCCCTCCAGGTCTGTCCCTGCCCCCGGTCCTTCTTCCACCCCAGCAGTACCCATTAGATGAGCATCTAATCCGGATCCAATAAACACACTTGAATTGCTGTCTGCAGAAACAGAGCTGGATCCCACCTGGAATCGTGCCAGCTAGGCACCCAGACTTGAGCAAATGGGGAAAAGCTGTTTATACACCTAGCTGTTGGGAAACAGGTGTAACATCATCAAAGCACTCTCAGGGCTGCAGGTGAGGTGCCCTGGAAGAGCCCAGGTGTGCCAGATGCGACCACTCATCTCCTCAGGGATAACCACTGTGCAATGGTGTATTTTTCCCTTTGGAAAAGCAAAAATAAGCCAAACCCAAACACCTTGGTGGTTTGCTGTCCTTGAGGGGTTGGATGTGAGCATGTTGCCATAAGAGTCTCATAACAGAGGAGGAACATAAACATCTGTCCTGCATCTCGTCCAGCCAGCAGGGAGAGTGGGGTTTGCAGAGCCGAGCCCGCAGGCAGCGGCTCCCCCAAGAAACTCCTGGAAAGCCCCTGATTTATATGCACCAAGAGATGCAAAGGCTGTTTCACTGGAATGATTGATATTGGAGCTGCCAGGAGGTAAGACTCCTCTGATGGGACTGGCTGGGACGTGGGGGTGGATGGAGGAGGGTGAAGCAGCCTCTGTACCCCCAAATTCAGCCCTGTGCTCAGCAGACAAGACCAGCAGTAGTGGGAAGCACTGTAGGGTGGTGCTCCACATCATCCTAAAGGATTTTTTTCCCAACATTTAAAAGAAAAAACCACCAAAACAGAAAGGGAGAGCAACGATCACCCATCAAATCTTCCAATTTCTCCATTTATTTCTCATCCCCTGCAACTGTTTCCTTTCCTACTACCCCCCTTTCTCCCTGTGCAGCCAGTTTCAAGTGTGTTTTCCCAGGATTTGTGCCCAGGATTGGCATTAAGTAAACTCTCCACAGCAACATCCACCTTTGCAGGACCTCACACTCGGGTAGTGGAAGGGGGCAAATGCTTGGAGCGGCTCGGGGATCCCTGGGGAGAGGCATCCCTCTGGGTGAAGTATTTTCCCATGCAGATGGGAAAGCAAAGGTGCTTGGGGGAGCAGCGAAGCAAAGACCAGCAAACAGCCTCAGCAGTGACTGCTTTGATTTCCAGAAATGCAATTAACACCTGCCCCAATGCAACTCCACTCCAGAGAGCGAACCAGCAGGAAAGAGCTGCTCTTCCCAAAGGCAAAGCGCTGCCCCAAGCCCTGTCCGCTGCTTGCTTGAGTGATGCCTGTGGAGCCCAAAGGAGTCACAGAAGAGCCAAGTCTGAGTGTTGTTTTTAACTCATTTTTTTTATTTGATCCAAGCTGTAGAGCCAAACCTTACTATGACTAATATTCTTAGCACTGTCTGTATGTCTGTGGTGTAAGTGATGGGTCAGGGAGTAGATGTGGGCTCAAAAAAATGGGGGTTTTCCCTTTTACTTGTGGGTTAGTTTAATCTGTGTGGCTCTGCAAAAGCTGCTGTGGATGTCAGAGAGTGAGCAGTGGATGAGGGATGGGTGGACTTCAGCAGAGAAACACAGAGGGCTGTGGCAGGTCTGCTTGTGCCACTTAAACTGCCACCAAACCTCAGCTTCACATGCACCTCCTGACACTCAGCAGAAAGTGCCAGGGACAGAGCATGGAACCCTTCCCAGTCTTACCAGTTTGGACAAAAACTCTAGGCACAGGAACAGCTCTTGCTCATTGAATCACAGAATGGTTTGGGCTGAAAGGAACCTTTAAAACTCATCTGGTTCCAACCCTGCTGCCATGAAAAGGGACATCTTCACCTAAAACAGGTTGTTCA